TTGACAAAATATGGAAAAATCACGAAAATTATCAAATTATTTTGAGTTAAGAATTCGTAAAATTTTTCTTTTTAAATCTTTTTATTTTAAAAGAATATTGACAATCTATACAACATACGAGGTATAATGAGTAAGTGTGGTGACATAGGAACATTAGACATAACCACAGCAGTGCCACCTGACCAGAAATTTTTTTAAATCTAAGATTTTAAAATGTAATACAATAGATTCCTTATAAGATTATCTACCTTTATCAAAAAAAAAAAAAAATGTCTATAAGAAAGTCAAATTAAATTTTTAATACCATAGATAAGTATATAATATTATGTCTTATACCTGGACTAACATACCGTCTCCACTCAGTATCGTTTTTCTTATACAATTCTATTATATCATTGAATTCAAATTTAATACCATCCATTATACAGTGATCCACTTGTAACCTACTGTACAGCAGAGCACCTTTATTAATATTTATATCATAATTTTCAAACATTAACAATAATATTTTTTTTCTTATAATACCTTTATACCTATTATATATTATAAAATATCTCTGAAATAAAATATTACGTTTTCTAATAATATTTTAACGATATGTAAATATTAATAATAATTATTAGAAGTAGATTTTACAAGTTTTACTTAATGTAGATATACCTATATAATATTTAAAAGATAATAAGATAAAAATATTTCGAATGATTGATTCATCAAATAAAATAAATAATTTAATATTAAATAAATATTTAATGAGTGTAGGTACCTATGTTATAACTTATAAGTAATCTTTAAAAGAACTATTATATTAATTATTAACATATGTTGTTTCACATCGTGATATAAAACAAAGCAATATTGTTAATTTTTGAATATTATTTATTATATTATATTAATTTTTTTAATGAAAAGTATACGCATACGATATTATAGTATATATAGTAGGTATAGTATAGTGTATACGGTATACCTATATGGCTATATTATGTATAACAATATATTTGTAATTAAATATTAATAATGTAATAATTACACTAATTACGTTTTAAAAATGCCATGTGATTGTCAGTAATAACTAATATTGTAGTCTGGGCGTTATTTTTCCCAGGTTAGGGGATTATTTTCAGGGGATTTTTATACCTATCTCTATGTTATAGTTCAGTGAATAGGTATACTGTAAAATTATGTAATAATCTTACCAAATACAAAATAATTTGTATCATACCGACATAAATTGTTTCCATGAAACGAATACAAGCATACAGCTTATGATATTTACCATACTTATCATAGGCAATATAAAACAAAAATTTGAATAAAAATTAATAAAATTAAATAATTACATTTTTTTCCAAACATAAAAAAAAATAAAAATTTTCTTTTGTATTAATTTAATACAGTTTAATTTTTAAAGATTTGTTAATATTTTCGGAAAGAATTGAATAATTTATTTTGAGGGGGCTATAAAGAGTTTTGAGTGGTTGTGCTTATGTTTGTATGGATATAATATAATTAATGTAAAATTTCGCAATCTATATGACGTTATAAGCAGGGTTCAAGACCTCTATTGTATTTTCATGTATTTTGTAGTGGTCGTAGATTATTCTAGGTAAGTTGTAAACTTGTAAAATGAAATGGCAAAATAAATAAGTTATGAATTAAATTATAAATAAAGTTAGAATTTGAAATGTCTAGCATATTTGTGCATATTTCATATTTTTATTTTTTTGTGTATTTACCTACGTAAACTTTTCGGGAAAAATCGCATGTTGAATACCTAACATTCAAAATTATTTTTTAAAAATACCCTTTGAGAAGCTGAAGCCTAAGCCTTAATATTATAATATTGAATAAGCTTAAAAAATAATTAGAAAATGTTTGTGAGTGCACTTAAAATTAATGGTGGAGGCTTGGCCCCTAAATCCCTCCCATTTGCGCATGTGGTAGGTACGTTAATACGTTAGATTTTATGAGTCTTTTTGTGACATAACTAATTGACATTTAGATTCTAGATTGTATGAAAAAATGAAAATCTTAAACAAAAAGTGTGTAATTATAATTATATACAGGTATACAGCTGATTTGTACGTACATTTAAATTCCGGGATGTGCTGTGGATTATGACAGTGGCGATTTACGAACAAATTTTTCGGGGGAAATTTTCCCAAATTTAAGGAGGGTGGGTAATTACTAATTCTGTAAAAAAAATGTTTGTATTTATAACTATAATTATTGAATAGGTAATTAATATGTTTGTATATTTGACTGGTTATTTACTCTATGATTTATCATAAGTATTTAATATGAAACAAAGCGTGCTGTATTGTTGTATGAAATAGTGGAACTGGGAAGATATTATTATTATAATTATTTTTTGGAGCATCGGAAACTAAGGCTAATAGCATTTTGTGGGGTTACGGTTGGTTTTGAGCAAACGTTTGTATGTGAGCAGAAGATTCGTAGAAATCCAGCGTAAGAAGTTGGGTGGTCACGCATCCGGGAGCTGCAGGAGACGCCAAACGATGCTTAGGAGGTACGCTTAGGCCTTGAAGATATATTGCAAGCAACCGCTTGCAGTTCTTACGCCGTATGTAGGTACCTATAGCAGTATAGCGATAGCCTAAGGCATAAGCTCAAATTAGCCATAGCCACCCCAAAAACCTAGGACATACAATTTAAAAATTTATATTGCAATGGTTTGCTTGCCTTTAATATATTTAGCCCCCTCCCCCCAAGTCAAAAGTTGAAATTGTGCCTATGATGGCCTAAGGTAAGGTACATAGTTACTACATTCTACCTGCCTATACATTATTATAGTGATATTATTGATATTAATACTACTATATATCCATAATATAAAATGTACAATGAATCGTGAATGTGTGAGGAGAAGTAAATAGTTGCACTACTCGCACCTCCTAGATCCATCACTGCTTAAGACAAGCAGAAACTCAAGAAAGTCTGATAGTCAGTCACCTTGACAACGAAATGTCGCTAAATACCATCTTACTTACCTATATGGTGGTCGTTTTGAAGGATCTAACTATATTAATAATTATAAAATAATTACAAACGACAGTTCAAAAATACTTAAAAAAAAATTATTTTGTAGGTATCTAATCATATTATAAAGGTTTGCTAAATGATCATCAAACATTCAAACACCACAAATCATAGTAATTGGTAAGTCTAAGTGTCGATTGCCATCGTTTACCTAAATCCATAGATTTATTTTTTCTAAGCTACAATAACTGAATGCTGAGTCCTTTGTCCTTGATTTTAATTATTTTTCTTTAACTAAATTTCAGAGGTATTACTCTATGCACCTGACACCCACAAAAATACATTAATTATTTTAAGTACAATTTAATAAAATAGGTATTAACTTTCACTATTTCATAACTGTGATCTAAATTAATGTCTAATCAAATTCTAAAATAGGAAATTCAAGTCAGGACTCTGGTATATAATAAAAAGGTACTAGAATTAACTAGTTTTATATTTTGCACGGCCACGGACTTTTTGTTGCTTATCGTTATCAATATAAATAATATAATAGACGAGCGCTTCCCCGCAGTAAGGCATTTGGCTGGCTTATCATAATATAATAACGTTATAATAGTGGCTTAGATAGATAACAACCTATAAGCCGCGATCATTGAACTATATAATAACTATATATATAAATTATTATATAGTTCAATGGCCACGATTTATATCTTAAACTGTGCTATGCTATGAGATAAGTACATAGGTCTTTATATGATATACCAATGATGTAGAGAAGATATCTTCTCTACATCGTGGATATACCTAACATGTAAGATCACAATATCGTGTGTAAGACCAAACACTCTATACGTCGTATATAGTATTTGGTAAGATACTAAGATACATATAACCATTGAGTATTGAGATAGTTAAACAATAAATAAATTTCATTGTAATAAGTAATAACTGTGAATAGTTGTTTATCTAATATCTATCTCAATGCGTATAAGTTACGGCATAAGATATAATTATCCTTGATATGATTAGGTATATCTTAGTCCGTAATGTAACTTAAAATTTAAGTTCTCTTGGCTAAAAAAAGTGAAATTTTATTTGATAATCTTAGAAGTTCAAATTGATACAAAGATTTATGAACCTATTACAAAAAAAAGAAGTTTCATGGTTTCTCAATCTTTTTTAATTTACATTTGACAGCTTTACCTCAAATGTCAATTTGTCATATTATATTTTCAAATAAGATAGAAAAGAAATTAAGAATCGAATCTTATAATAATAAAATTTTACTTTTTCTGCATACTTCACACAGGGTTACACTCCCATGATTTCTGCAAATTAATAAATCAATTGTTTTAAGAACATTTAACATGTCTGGTCATAGAATTATTATATTTTCATAAAGCTATAGGTTCAATTGTTTAAAATTATAATATAATAGACATTTAAATGTTTGTAAATCAGACAACAGATAACTATATTAGACTAAAGGGGGGTTCACACTACACCGTGTCGTGTGAACCCCCCTTCAGTGTCTCAGTCCATAAAAGAACATGCCACAGCCCGATCAAAATTGGTTTTTCCGCGCATCATCATCGACACTCTGCCATAGGAAAACCAGTTTCAATAGCAGGGTAAACCGGGGATGCACAGAACCGGCATGTTTTCTAGTGGAACAGAGTATAAGACACTTAACTTTCTTTAATTTTGAAATAAATGGACAACTATTTAAATAATTAGTACCATTATTTGATTTATCTTCTGGTGTTCATATTTCTTTAATCAAACATATTTGGCGGAACGGCAACATGAATGATTAAGCATGACTCATAAACCAAATAACAAATTCTTTGTTTTTACTAATAGAATATGTTGATAATAATTAATATGATTAAGTACACATAAAAACAAAACAAAAATATAAATTTAATACCTAAAACATCTATTTAAAACGAAAAAAAAAATTCTAAAACAGCACAGTTTAACAACAAATCTTACGAATTTGCCTCTTTATTTTTGATGGTTTCACCAGCTTGTTCTTCTTTATTTAAAAATTCTTCATCATCTTTTAAACCTTCTGTATATACTTCTGGATATTGGTCCATACAAGTCCACATAGCTGTGAACTTTTCTCTACATTCCATACCTTTAGGTTCTTCTTTACTATAATGAAAACACGTAAATGATTCTCTAAATTCAACCCCACAAGGCCCAGTCGCCATTCCTCCTAAACATGGGCAATTCCAGTTGATGGAGCCATCTGGAAATATGAGACCCGGTGAGGGTTCTGGTGGTGATAATATGACTTTACTAGGTGACTGATGATCTTCTTTTGTGGCAAATATGATTGTGTCTTTACCATCTTTAATTACTTGTGACATGTTTATAAGTTCTGTCTTCTGTGATGAATGATATTAAACACGACGAACCACGGTGCACGTTAAATGCAACAGTATTTGAGTTGTGGCGTCCAAACAACGTAAGCGCTCCACGAAATTTAATGTAAAAATTAGATGGACACCGAATTATGCCTCTTCCAGCTTTAAATCTTAGTACATCAAAGTTGACACTCGATCCAAACTAAAAAAAAGTATAAATATTAAAATTTTTCCAAATATTTTATGATACCATTAAGGTTTAGTTTTGTAGATAAAAAAATATAAAACATAATAATGAATTCATAAAATAGTTGGAAATAATTGTTATAATAGTTGTATATTATGAATTTATGATCATATCCAATATACTAAAATGTTAAATAATGATGTGACTGTATAATAGTATTTAATTGTAGCATGTACAACCAAAAGTTAATAGTGCAAGTCTATTTAAATAAACTATGAAGTAAATTAAAAAATCAAGTAAATCATTAAATAAAATCTAGTCTACGATCATAGATTATGGTGGACATACCCATAGATATTAAAGAATGGATAGGCCATGGCTACATTAATAAAATAGAGGGCCGTGTACCGGAATGGGGAAGAGAGAAAGACTGTTTTTTATGATTGTATCTCATTCTGGCAGAGGTCTTATCATAAATTATATACAATAATTATATATATATCTATTTGTGTTAAGACCTCTATATCCTCAAATTGTTTTCATGTTCATTCCCGTATGATATGTACAAATGGCCTATCCATTCTTTAATATCTATGGACATACCTAAATATATAAATGTAAGTACTTAAGAAGTTATTTTAATTTAAACTGTTTAATATTTAATTAAACATTTCATTTAAATACATAAATTAGAAACAGTTTAAAATGTATATAGGTACATATAAGTTACAATTTCTAAAAATCTATTCACTTCGGAATTTGTTTGTTGGAAATATTTGTACAACATAATACATTTTTGATTACATATTATATTGTAATGAATTAAAAACTAAAATGTTTTAGTGTCAGTGAAATGTTAAAAACACTGTGGGTGTAGAATGGCCACTAGTTTGGATCATTAAGCATTGTAGAAAACAACAATAATAAACAATTACACAACTGAATACATATTAGTAAGCATAATTTTGTACCTGGCCAAAAACTTCTTTAAGCGCTTCCTTGATGTAAAATGCAAATTTTCCGTCGTTCACGTCTACGTTGTCGGCTTTTCTATCGAGAACATTCCTAGACAAGGAAATAGAATCGGTTAATATATGTACAATTTAAATATGTAAATACTGATTAAGCAAGGATTTACGATTCAAAAGTTACTCACAATGTGACTTCTAGGAAGTAATAAGAACACATAATCGGTATATTATCAACATAATTCTATCCTAATATTTATTATTTTTCGTTTACTAAAACCTAACCTAATAGATACTACACAGCTACGATCTACGGTTGTATTTTGGAAAAAAATATACAAAACAAAAAAGACACAACCTACACGGCTGTGCAGAAGACGAGTGCACCTATTTAAAGTACCTAACGCAAATGCACTATGCAGCAGCCAGCGACTAGCAAGTATGAAGTAATGCACTACGGGATATTGCACTATAATAAGTAATAATTCCCTATCAAAGATTGTTAATCGTTTTCGAACGTATTTGAGGTTAAGAGTTAAGACCACGGAGATCACAATCGTCGGGCGCCGATCAGTGTGGCCAACGGAACTCTGGCCGAGTGGCCGGCCGTGTCCGAGGGGTCCGACCTCCGACACGATCATTGTTGGCGCGCCACCGGTTGTCCGTCCGTCGTCCCGCCGCGCTATCAACGGAGTTGCATTAATTTTTTTTGATTGACAAAATAGGTATCATTTCGTTTTTCGCTTCCAAGTTCCATTCGTCCCGTGGTTGCCGCCGCCGCTGAGTGCAGACTCTTGTTATTATTATTATTTTTGTTGTAGTGCACCTACCCGCCACCGTGGTCGTCGTGTTCACACCATTTTCGTGTGCGTGTGTGCGTGTGCCGCCGTCTGCCGTGCCGATCGACCGATCTCGCGCAGTTCGCCGACGCCGCCGTTGCCCGTTGCTGTCTCCTGTCTTGCACGCGTGTGTATGTGTGGTGCCGTGCGTGTGCGTGTGCGTGTTGCCGTTTCGTTGCGTTTGTTTCCGACGACGACACGTCTAAATGGGAAGCGTGAACAACGCTGTCCGTTGCGGTTTCATATGTCGTCTATGTTCGAAAATCGACAAGCGTGTTGTGCACATCTACGGCGAACTAGGCAGAAAATACAATTTGGTTCAAAAGATCAGAGACTATTTGCCCATAAAGGTGAGGCACACATACGCACCGCACCTCGGCGGTCGTTGACGTCTATTTATTTTTATTTTTATTTTTATATTTTTTTTACTGTTATTGTATTGCCGTTCTACGGTCGTGTTCCGCTCCGAAGTCGAGACGGCCCTACGGTCCTCTTAATGAACGTGGTAGAGGTCGGGTTGGGAAAAAAATTTCGGGCGGCGATTTTCGTTTTCGTCGGCCCTATTGAATTTCGTTATTGTGTTTCGAAACGAGTATGACGAAATTTGTGCGCGCACGCGCGCTCGTGTGTGTGTGTGTGTGTATATGTGTAGTAATGTATACCATGTCATATATTATTATGCACATTGCACACGCGCGCACACACACACACACACACGCCTGTAGATTGTGTGCGTGTTGCGTTATCACCGGGCCGTTGCGATTTAGCACTAAATGTGTGTAGAAACACGTCTGTTTTTTTACGCCATCGCCGAGACGGTCGCGGGGGCGACGACGGTCGGCGTTTTTCGCGCAGGTATTCCGCCCAGGGTTTCCATCGAAATTCTATCACATTTTCGCGGGACCTACATCGTTCCTCCGTCCACCGTCCGTGTTCCGACGGACACATCGCCTCCGCCGCCACAACCTTGACCTCGCGTTTTCCGTGAACTATTTTTTTTTTGTTGTTTTTCAGGGTTATTAAAAGTGTGTTACTTTCATAGGCGCCGAGGACGCTGTAGCCTTGACGCTCGAGCTCCTTACGCGTAATATACGACGGCAATATCACAATAATAATATTGTAACGCAAACGGTTGTGTACTACCCGACGCACTACCCACAAAAGAGGTACCCGTTTTCGGAATTTAATTTCTCCGCCCGCGTTAAATTTGGAATAGTACCTAATTACGCGTGCGGCACGTCCACGATGTGTGCGTCCTGCCCGGGATAGGCAGTAGACTGGTAGGTACCATACGAGTATACGACTATAGTACGTCGGTACCCACGTTATGTGTGAAATTTCTTTAAGTCTACTTGCTGTCCACTTTTTTTTAGTCGCGATTTCAAGGTCTCGCACGATATCGGCTTTCTAAGTGAATTGCCATTTTTTTTTCTCTCGATTTTCGTTGTATTATTTAGGTGCAAATTATTTGATTGCAGTTTTAAACACATTGAATCGGGAATAGACATTTCGATGTCCTTTTTGAACGTTTCCCATGGTCCATTTGTAACCTTGACCCAACTCTACCTGATTACCACCTATACTATTTGGATATGTTTTAAACTAAAAGTATTTGAAAATAAGTCAAGGATATTAAATTGGTTACACTATTGAAATCATACAGATTGTATGCAATTTTAACAATGATTAAATTGGTGATGTCATATTGATGTAGGCACACTGGACAATTATGAGATAAAGTTATGATATTTATCTCAATATTTATTGATATACCTACCTTGTATAATTATATACATACAAATATATATTTTTTTTTAATATTGATTAACCATAGTTATTGTACCTATTAGACATTATCTTAACGTTGTCAAGCTCAAAATCAAATCATGGACAAACCATTTCCTTATTATTTACAACTATAATTGATTCTTATAAATTTTATTTCTTGGATTAGGTAGACCTAGGTATGTAGACTAGAATTTAAATATTTTTGTTTACACTTTACTTTTAGGTATCTACCTATTATTTATAGAAATTAATTTAAATATAGGTACCTACTAAGATAGGTATTTATATTTATTGAAATATTTTCTTATTTATACCTAGGAAAAGTATTCTTAATAACGTATCTGGTCTTGAACCATATTAAATTATTTTAACATTAAGAACTAAGAATACTGTTTGATTGTGGGTTTGACAATTGTCAATTATGTTTTTTTTATTGTTTAGTTAATAGTTTGTGATAACAATAACATTCAAGTGCCCTTGATTTGTAACCAATATTTGATTATTTACTACCATATCCCATACTACCTATCTAACAGTATACAGTTTTGTTGCTTATCTTGTAGTATTTTAAATAAGACATATCTTAGTATAAAAAAGTAATATTTATCAATGAAAAACTAAAACATAAATCATAATTTTTTATAAATTAAAAAGAATGTTACTGTCATTATCCATTTCTTTCGAGATTTCTTTGTATTGAATGTTCTTAATTTTGGTTACCTAATGAAAAAGATTTGTGGATTTGTTAGATATTTATTGTGTTTATTGATAAATCATAATTTCTAATAAATCACATTTAGGTATGCACTCCAAATATGTAGATTAATAATACCTAATACCTAATGAATGTATCAAGTTCATTATCATTACTTTTAAAATGAATACCTGGTTACCTGTTATTTAGGTACTTATTTCCTAGGTATTCATTAAGTATCAACTAATTTCAAAAAAAATGTAACTATAATGTGTTAATACATAAACTCACACGTATTGTGTAAGTGTCAATGTTTAAATGTGGTAGAACAATTTGTACCTACCTAATTGTTATTTTAATACATTTTTCTTAAGTAATTTGTAAATTTTAATTAATTATGATATTATTCTCCATACTTAATACTAATTGATCACCTACTAACAAATTAAGTGCTACAAACATTTCTATAATAGTAATTAAATTATAAATTATACCGATGTATAGAATCCTTTACAAAGTTTAACTAGTTTAAAAACTAAAGAAGTGGGTAAAAATGTAGTGATTGAAATTCTTGATAAAAAAATTCTTTATTAACTATTGAAATACCAAACTTACCAATTTAGTGAATTACCCAATTCCTTTTACGTCTTGGGATTCCATATTCGAAAATATATTCCTAATGAACTTTCATATTTTTAAGTTAGTAAAATTAATAATCAGTTTTATAAATTCTTTTGAATTTAAATGCCATAAATTCAAAAAACAAATTAAATGCAGTATATTTTATAGAAATATGAATCAATCTTAAACTGTAAATAACAAATTCTTTTTTTTTTTTAATTGATTGTTAGAATTCATACTAGTGTTAAATGTCTTATAATTAAGAATTTACTTTTTTTGAATAAATGTTTATGTTTTATATTTTTTTTATACTTAATACTTGGATTGAAAAAAAATTGTGATCATCTTAGTAGCGAAATAGATAGTAAAGTTGTGGTACTATTTATTAAGTAAATAGCAACTGCATCTATTGATCAGACATCCTTAAAGTTCTTATTGCCAAACAAAATATAGGTATCTGATTAAACAATTCAAGATATTAGGTATTTTTTTCGTCACAAGTATATCATTTGTATCTAATGATATGGATTGTTTATTTCATATTTTCATGTTCATTTATATAATATTTTTAAATTATACTTTGTCTAACTGGCCGACCAAAATCTGTTATTCTGCGCATCACCATGCAACATCCTGCCATAGGTGAACCGGTTTCGGTATCAGGATGACATGATGGCCCGAGGAGGGGGTACGCAGAATCGGGGCATTCTCTCACTGGACAGAGTATACATGAGCTTAATTGTAAAAGTGTATAAATTAATTGATATTATTTTTATTATTACAAATAAAAAATCTAAATTAACTAATGTGTGACCTTTTTTTTGTATAAACTTTGTTGTTTTCAATGACAATAATAGTGTTCTATATAACTATACTATACTCCGGCCCACGAGAGAATATTACCGTCGCCTGACGAAAACTCGTCCGATTCCGCGCATTCCCCACTACTCGGCATGCCGACAACTGTACGATGTATAGCCGGAAATAGTGGGGGAAATGGGGCCTCGTAACGGTCTCCTCCGTTAGTCTGCATACGCAAAACGGTAATACTCTCGGGAGTATACAGTATCAGCACCTTAAAATATATACAAAATTAAATTATTCCATCATCTCTAAATATCATTAATTTATTGTAAAATATTTGTGAACTTATATGTACATGTTCTTTGTTCAGTAGGGCGGAGGCTCAATATACTTAAAATAATAGGTACTAGGTATATGAAAGGATTTTATAGTCCAAATAGTACATTATTATTAGTTGCACACTTGCACGCTATAAGTAAATATGTTAAAAAAATATAAGGAATTAATTCTTTACTATATCTGCCTATGGACTTCTTTATAAATAATTTTATTCTATTCGGGATATTTTTATATTACAGACCCTGTCTTTCTTGTTTTCTATATGACATTTATAAAAAAGATGATGCTTGGTCAATAATCTGGGATAAAAGAATTTTTCTATTCTGTTTTAGATTAAATCTTCTGATGGTTTGCCGCTTACATTATGTGTATCATGTGTTCAAAGATTAAATCGCAGGCACACATTACAAATGGCGATAAAGCACAGTACTGCTCGTATAGTATCTCGCACCACAGTAGAATCTACCACCGGAAGAGACGAGTGTAATCAACGTCAACAAATACACCTCAGCTCAGCTGTACAGTCAATTTGATTTTCGTCTTCTTTTATTGTATATACCTATTTTTTTTTTTCAATGAAGACTGTTATAAAAATTGAGTTCAAAACACATGAGCTGAATAATGTTATTCAAATTTGTCAAGTCTCATCAGTGAATTACTAAAAGTGTTTTACTAACGGTTTTTATTAGATTTAAGTTGAGCAATAAGGTTATTTAACAAAAATTATTTTAAGTATATAATTATATTTCTATGTATAACATTAAAAATACCTAAAATAATTTATTTTTGATTGTATGTAAGTTAATTTTATGTAAGCTAAAATGCTTGTTTTATTTAAGAATAGTGCTGATGTAGACCTATTAGTAATATATTAGGGGTAGTCAAAATAAATATGTTAATAATAAGTAAATGTATAGATATCCAATCTACCACTGCATTTGACAACTATGCATTTTTCAAGTATCATAAACAAAATAGGACATAGAAAACCAACAAAAATGTATTTTATATTATAACATTATTCATGTTCAATTGAAGACTTGAAAAATGCATACACATTATTATCAATTTTTTTTTCTTTGAATAGTTTCAATTATGTTTCAAAAAGGGGTTACTATTATTGTTTACTAAACCACCAACGTATTTAAATAACATGGCGTGCCATTTGTCTTTAATTTTATGTTATTTTTTTAAAAGCATTCACTTTATTTAATTTGAAATGAACTTTTCCTGATCTCAAACTTATGGGAAGGTTTTTAGTACAGATTTGTTGAATTTTTTAACATATTGAATTTGACATCCCAATAAATATTAATTTTTAATTGATTTTTTTAGTAAAATCAGTGCCTATAAAATTCAATTAAAGTATTAATATTTTATACAATTTAAGTTTATATTTTACTTTGTAGATGTAGAAAAATAGTACAATAAGTGCAATATGAAATGGCGCTGAATAAAAAATTGTTTGAAACTTTTAATTTATTATGTTTTATGATATACTTCTTTTTCAGAAATAGTAATTTAACAAAATTTTTTTTTATTGTGTTATGTTTTGTGAAAATTTTGAACTTCCATTAAATATGTTTATCTCCTTGTTAACTTGACCTGCAATATAAATAATTGTTAAGATGTGAAAGAGATAGTATTATAATTTGTCATTTGAAAAACTTATATTTTTTGTGCATTTTTATTTTTTTAACACTGTTTTAAATTCCTAGTATTGAACACTGTTTTAAATTCCTAGTATTGTTTAAAATATTAAATAGAACTGGGAAACTGATAGGTACTCTATACAATTAGTGAAATTGCTTTTAAAATATAGAAATTAAACTTTAAACTTAAAGAACTGCATACAAAATTTGAATATTGGTATAAAAAGAAAATATTTTCTGAATTAAATTATGTATTGGCTTAGTAAGAAATAAGCTTAATCGTAGATTGCTATTATTTTGTTAAACAGATAAATAATTCAAAATAGGTAGTTCTAAAATATAGCATATATGACATAATGTTATACTGTTATATTATGTTTATCTTAAAAAACTAATGAAAATTGTCATATTTCTAGTGCCAATCTGGTCGAATAAAATATTGAAGATGTTGAGCTGATAGATGTGACAAACTTTGGGCGTGCAAATATTTGGTAAAATCTTAATAGTAAGCTTAAAAATTATGAAAGTGGAAACTGTGGACTGGGAGGAAGGTGTATTCGTATATTGCTCAGTTTAGAACATAAGGTGTAGTGGGTACCTACAAGTAAAGGTCCCCACACACACTGTGGCGGTGGCGTTAAATTCTATTGTCTTGGCTTCACCGCCGCGGTGAAATGTGTCCTACAGCAATTCACCGCCATCGTCACCGCTGCAGTGTGTGGGGACCTTGATTGGTAATATTGTTAAATGGTTATCAATATTAGTCCCCTGACGTAGTGTTCTAAAGGCTAAAGCACACTGGTGCAACCTGTCTGACTGCAGGGAAATAGTAATACATCCCTAGTTTAAATTGTACATTGGCATTCTTAAAATGTACTATCTTTATATTTCTTATTGCCTATTTTATAAATAAAAACAATTTGATACCATATTGAATTAAAAATCAACAAGTTTAAATATATCGTGTTTTATATTATGTAGGACTGAAATAGCAAACTTCAATAATAGACTTCCGATATAGATTTCTTCTACATAGTGAATCTACGAAACATATAAATTACAATTATTATTTATTAGTTTATTACATCTTACGATTTTTATAAAAGGTGTTGTTTTTGGATTACAAAAATATAATATGTATTTATAATATACGTGTAGGTACTGTGTAATATTTCAACATTGAATGAATAAAGAGAAGGCTAGTGGTAATGTTTAAATAATAAATAATATACGTTCATATTTAAAAATAAATTGCACAGTATTGAATTTTTAATTTGTTAAGTAATCTCGATTATGTTCGAAATTGTATTAAACATTTGGCTGATCTTGTACTATTATTGTCATCATAATGTCGAAATGTATACATAATGACACACTTAGTACTTGCAAGGTAATTGTGTTTATTGAGCTACTCAAGGACTTTCATGCTACTTCATTTTGGTAGGTTTCATGAGATGGTTTCATCGTCGAATCTTGAAGGTCACTAGACAGTTTTAATCATTAATGCAACTTTTTAACGGACTATTTTGTAATGCCGCAATTTTGCAACCAGTAAATTTTGGGGATTTTAACGGTTGTATCGTAATCAATAAAAAAATGCTTGAACAAATATTGTTAGTTTCAGTAATTGAAGAAACATATTCTAAATAACTCTATTATTTGGACCGCGGAAAGTAGAATTTAAAAAAACAGGTAAGTGGATGTCGCTCTGCGGTACAGTAAGTTACAAGTGGGTCAATGTATAATGGATTGTATTAAACTTGAATTCAATGATATAATATCATTGTATAAGAAAAACGATTCTGAGCGGAGACGATTTATCAGTCTGGATTTTTTAAATTTTTATTAATATTATAATATTATAATATTTGTTTTTCGATAAACAAATCGTTAGAAATTAAAATCCCATTTTAAGCGGTTTTTCGTAATTTGTCAGTAGTTTTTCCCGTGACATTAAATAACTATGGAGAAAATCGAAAAATGACCTGTTTAAAGTACCATCTTGATCCAATTTGCTAAAAGGTAAATTACTATATGTTGAAAACGATGCACTCATTCTGGTAGAAATTTTGTATACAGGATATATATATAAAAAAAAAATAAACACCATTGTAAAACCACTAAAAATACAACTAAATATTCTAAAATTTAAATTAAAATAAAATACTTACATATCGTCCATTCCTATAAATAATCAGTGGCGCCGAGTTCAGTAAAATAAGGTTAAAGTGGTGTTCAATTCTAACCAAAGCTCACCCACCCAATTCATCATTCAAAAACGGAAGAAAATATCTAACAATTATTTTAGCTCTTACCAATTTACTATTTAATTTTCAAGGTATCTTCGTATCATCATGTAAGGGTGCACAGTGCACTAAGTAAAGATTTTCCAAAATTCTCATTTTAAAAAGGTGATCACACAAAGATTTTTGAGTTTCACGATAGATCACAACTTTTTTTGTTTATAAATGGTTACTATATTGGTTACAGATAGTAATATTAATACTTAATAGGACAAATTAGTAGAAATGTTATGTGTATTAATAGTGGTCATTGGTTTCTCGGGCAGATGAGGTAAAATAATGCATCAAATCGTCGCATTTACATGGCATCGATTAAAGAAACTATATCTTAAAAACAATTGTATGATTGTAGCTTATATATTCAAAAAGTACAGGACTGATGTTGACGAAAATTTCAGAGATTATTCTTAGAGATATCATAAACGTTTAGAGAGTAAATTTAATTACGATAAAAATATACCAAGTGGTAAATCCAATTAGCGACTTGTGGTTAACCGTATCTTTCGAATTATTTCACAAATAGCTAGGCACGCCGATTTGCTCTTGAATTGAGCTACGCTAAAGCCGAGATACATCCAGTATAATCAGGTACCTAATATAGCTAGTGCAAGTATACCTAAATATTAATACATTATATATAAATATGGAAACATTATTTTAAGATATTTGATTCACAAAAAAAATATTAAAATTCAATATTTCATGTTAAAATAAAGTTTATAAAAAAAGGTTATATTATGTCCGTTAATGCATAATAATATGTAGTACTAAACGTCTAAACATATCTATGACCTGATTTGCATCAATATCAGATTCATAGGAAATAATCATCAATTGTTTTAAATGTTCATGAGAAATTGTTGTTCTCAATCGATTTTTGAAAATGTTTAATGGTTTTGTGCTAGAAACTGCTAGATACTTGTAGATTATAACTAGGGCCCGGATTTTTATGCAAAAATTATTGCTAAATATGCACAGATTTATGCACTCAAAAATTCTAAGATATGCAAAAAATATGCAAAAAAAAATTTTTTATTGTGTATTAAAAACAAAAATGAACATCTTAAAACAATTACAAAATATATTAGGTATGAGAAAAAAATACAATTTTAATAACAATATAATTCTGCTCACAAATGTGTACAAACTATACATTTATATCTATTGCTTAACTAAATAAATGCAAAATTAATAAAATAATAATACAAAATGTAATATTAATTTTGGAACGAGTACCAACATGAAGTTACGAAATGTGATTTTATATTTTCAAATTCGAAATTTCTACGATTGTCACGTAGCATAGATTTGTATTTTGAAAAACTTCTTTCTACGTCGCAAGACACGATAGGTGCATACTTAAAACAAGAAATGTCTTCAGGTGTCAACTCTTCAATGCCTTCATTGTCATTGCTTATTTCTCCGCTTAATATTCCACAAATTTTTATAATTTGAGAATACCCTGGATTCTTCGATAATACTTGCATTAGTTTAAGTTTAGCAAATTCTATGCCTATTCCCTATTTCTTTTCGGATTTTACGTAATACGTCTTCATAACACAACGGAGCATAGTTTTTTCGTAGTGTCGATTCGTTAGGTAATTTTAATTTAATATATTTTTCGAAAAAACATTTGAATTCTGGGTTTTGTAGTTTCCAAAGTGGAATATATCATTTGCCACCATTAAGGTACAAATATCTTTACTAAACTCATTCAGATTTTGATTATTTGTTCTAGTTTGATCAAGTGATTTTTTATAAACTGTTGACTAACCTGGTCTTTGTTTGATTTCAACTTACTATTTTCAATGTGTTTAGAAGTTCCTAAATGTTGAGTAATCTGTGATTTTCTATCACACGATACGTTGGTTTCACAAAAAGTACAAAATAATATAGCTCCATCTGTACGAAAGACACCTGGGTAATCTCTCACGTAACAATGAGCTTTCTTTACTTTTGGCATTTTCTTAGAGAAAAATAAAAATTTGACACTAAAGTAGACAAAATATTATTTTATACGAACACAAAAACTGCGGTGGACAAACTACACCAACAAATTACTGTCACTAACTAATTTAAATACACAAGCCGTGTGCGTATACCTAAAGGCTAAAGTGCAGATAAGTCATCTGAGACAAATATACGCAGACTGTCGATAAAAATCGGCGACGGAAATTTCCCAATCAATGCTTAAAAGCTTAAAATAACTTTTATGCACACTCGCCTTGCTTTGCAAAAAAAAAAATTCATCAACTATTAAAAAATGCAACTTTTATGCAATTATATAGAAATATGCAATTAATATGCATTTTCATTCAAATATGCAAAAATAAAATTTGATAGCTTAATCTACGTATTACGAAACGTCAAGATATTTAATCAGAATTATTATAAGTTAAATGTAGAAGAATATGCATTTGCATAAAAATCCGGGCCCTAATTATAACCGATTTAAAGAACCGTGTATACTGCAGGGAAAATGCTCTGTAATCCGGAATCCGGAGTTTTAGGTTTTGAGATAATTTTAGATTCGACCAAAGATAAATAATCACACATAATTATTACACTGTCATAGAAATTCGTTTTAGATATACACCGACACAGGCATATTCATATGTGCAATTCACGCAAATAGGGGTGATTTAGGGGCTACCCCCCAGAAAAAAAAGTCCAAAGCACTCCCAAACATTTTCTACATTTTGTTTTAAGATTATTCAATATTATATTAGGCTTTGGCCCCCAAATCCCTAAGACCCTAACGCTATTTGCGCTTATGGGCATATTAGTAACCTGGTTACTCAAGTAGGTACCTACCTAATAGGTACAATACCTACTGTAATAATGCATTAACTAAGTAATACGTATAATTGGTACGACGGTACGTGTATAAGTACATATAGTACCTACTTACTTTAGTATTAGTATTAATTATCCTGGACAATTTTTTACCCACCCACCCACAATTTTAGGTGGTTCAATTAAACCACCTTAAGTGCGTACTCGGCGCCACGGGCTATAATAATAAGGTAGATACATAGAATAAATTATAAATATACTATAGTACGTTGGGTACTAAATATTATATAGCAATATAGTAACTTCAAAACTAAGTTCAACGGCCAAATTCTAATTTGGCCAACGCTTTCAGCGTGCTTAACTACAAACATATGTTGAAACAAAATAAAAATTGAAAAAAAGGGTGTGAAATGAGATTTCAAATGAGATTTCATGCAGAAATCTTTTTTTCTTAAATTTGTTATAATATGTATGATTGCTTTATATTTTAAATAAGATCACGACACCTTCAATTCAAATTCACGGCACTCTGGTCAGGAATCTCTGCCTTAATGGCTAACCAGGAGCTTGCTCAATAAAAACTAAACAGTGAAGGTAGGTGTATTGCAAGTAGACAATGAGGGCCGGCGAAAGTCGCCCAGGTCGCCAGCACGGAAGGGGCGCCAAACTGAAAAAAGAAAATTATTTTTGTTTAATTTATCTTTTAATACGCATTAACAATCTATACAATTTGAAATATTCATCATCTAATGTCGTTTTAATTGAAGATACATCTGCAATTGTCTCATATATTTTGTGTACTGAACTATCGTAATTCGTAGGAAAATAACAGTACATATAACATCGATACCGCTATAATATTTACCTATTTATAAATTCATATAACTAGACGATTAGGTACGTCTAGATTCGTTAGAAACACCGCGGCGGTAAAACTCGGTCGGACTTTACAGCGAAAATACCTCAGTGTGGTGTAAATCAAAAAAACACAATTGCCTGACACACACTAGTACTACACTCACAAATATTTATTGTTTTTGACGAGCTCTTGCTACTTGCGGTCTGCTGGGTAATGTCTAGGTAGAGGCAGTGGCGTATTTACGGGGGGGGGGTCCCCGGGTCTGGACCCCCCCCAGAAAAAAATATAATATAATATAATTATTACATCGTAACTCGTATGTGTTTTTTTTATATTATAAACTTGTAGGTACCTAATATTTAGACCCCCCCCCAGAAAAAATTTCAAAATACGCCACTGGGTAGAGGACTTGTAACATTTGCATATTTGTTTTGCCAAGTCACAAAAATTACTATCTATAAGAAAATGTAATAATCCAAAAATCGCATTTTTGGAGTTAGGCCGATTATAAATTTTTTCTATATATATACTCATAGAATTCACTTGTTTGGTCTTCACGCTTATTTTAATGGTATTATTTAAAACCATCTACATTGTATTTCTAGGTAGCAAATTCTATCATTCAATTATATGTTAGTGATGTTCATTGCTCCTGTGTCTTCCTCGATATTTCTCAGGCGTTCGACCGCGTCTGGCATGACGGTCTCCTCTTTAAACTTCGAAATTGCCTCCCATCACCTCTATTTCTGTTAATCAAATCTTACCTAACAGATAGATACTTTCAAACTCGCTAGTCGCTTTGGCTCGTGCATCTCAGAAATGGCTCTAATCCAAGCAGGAGTACCTCAAGGTGGTATCCTATCTCCCCTTCTATTTAACATATATGCCTCAGACCAGCCCACAACACAAGACACCCTTGTAGTTGATTTCGCAGACGATAAAGCGATAATAGCAATTCATGAAAATCACTTAATTGCCTCGGCCAATCTCCAATTACACTTGGACCTCTTATCGCAATGGTACTCCAAATGGAGAATAAAATTAAACCACAACAAGTCGGTGCACACGACCTTTACGTTAAAACACGGAATTTGCCCACCTGTATCTGTAGACAACATACCTATTCCACCGTCTGACACCGTTAAATACCTAGGACTGACACTCGACAAAAGACTAACTTGGAAACAGCACATAAGGTCCAAACCACTAAATTTAAACACTCGTTCTCGCACCCTCAAACACCTCTTATCAAAAAATAAATTCACTAAACTAAAAACTAAACTACTCATTTACAAGTCATTACTAAAACCCATTTGGACTTACGGATTACAACTGCGGGGGTCGGCCAAAAAAACTAATATTAATACAATTCAGGCTTTCCAGAACATCACCCCACGAAGAATTGCTAATGCCCCACCATATGTATCCAATCTAACCCTCCATAATGATATGCGCATGAAAACAGTTGAAGAAGAATCGGTAATTTATTACAAGCGATTCTTTTCACACTTAGCTAACCACAAAAATCCACTAATCAGGTATCTAAATACAATAACTTTGCCCGAAGCTCCTCGACGTCGTCTGAAAAGCAGGTGGTGCAGGGACCTTCTAATTTTATAACTTCCAACGTTCTTTTACCTCGCTAGCGCACTTCACGCTTATTCTCCACAAAGTCATAGTCCATAGATTAACATAATCTGTGCTCATGCTAAGTGTTGCTAATGGGTGACTTCTTAACCCCGTTCTTCATGCCTGTTTACCCTCTTCAAATCCGCTTATTGTGCTCTTATTAGTATAGATTGTGTAATTCTTGTAAAAAAAAAAAAAAAATATGCACCGTATAACCGTAATGTCAAAATCGTGTTGATTAACAGGCCACGTGTCCATGATTATTGATATTAATATCTACAATTGTAGAACTATCTAGCCAAGGTGTATTGATACAATATCAATACACCTTGTATCTAGTATAAGCTTTAATCCAGTTACAAGCCGAGTTATCTTATCTACTTCAGTGCATGATCACAGCAGCACTCTTTAATTCGTTTGGACCCACTACGGCGCTACCAAACCTTATAATATGTATAATATATATACTATAAATTATAAATATTACATATTATAAAGTTTTATTATAATTATAATTATTTAAATTTGTATTATAGGTTAAATTTGAACTAAAATAATAACCAAGCATTATTAAGAAATATGTTGATAGGTATAGATGTTTATTAAAATATACCCAATTGCCTCCTTTCTTATATTTTATTAAACATTAAATGGTTACAGAATTATAAAAGCTGTTAGACATTTTGCGTATGAAAAATTATGTTCAAAATGCTGATATTACAACTATATTATGAATAGCTTCATATGTTATTTTTCAGTACACTGATTTCAATTTTCCTTACCTATATGAACCGTTCGTATAGTGTTTAAAATAGGACCCCAGATCGTAACATTTTTAATCAGCAGCAATAATAAAATTATGAAAAGAAAACTAAACAGAAAAATCGAAATTTAAAGTCTATAAAAACTTAATATTTGAATTATAACAAAAAAAGATTTTTTTTATCAATTGCGTAAATGTCCCAGTTGATCCGATTTTTTTTTTAAATTTCTCCCCTAGGAACTATTTCTTTTAAAAAGAACTATTGATGTTTTTACGCTCCTAAAGGTGATAACAAACAAACCACTCATTATAAATTGTAAAACGCATACATGCACTCATCGCTCCACAGCTGGATTTCCACTCAAAATCCAAAATAAGGAAATCATATTTTATATAATTTTTACATATTTCTTATAATAAAAAACTACTTTAATTTGGATCTATTTTATAGCAAATGACGCCGGCGCATTGGATAGGCAATCTTGATACAAAAGTGCGTAGAAAACAATTTACTGTAATATTCTTCACAAGAAATAATTAAATAAATATAATATTTAGTCTGATCGCTCTGATCTTCAACTAATAATTAAAATTAATTATTTTCAGAAGCTGTTCGTTGGTCCTTCAACAACTACTCTTCTTATAGAAGATATAACAGCCACGAAATGGAAACGGTGACGAGTATTTGAATAACAAAAGTAGGCAAAAGATCAAATAATTCTGTTGATTAACAGATTTTTTTATATATAAAAAATAAGTAAGTAGTACCCACTTCAGTGGCGTTATTTCAATTTTCAATAGAGGGGGGTAAAAGTTTTGATCAGTCCAAATGTGTAACTTAAAAAACCACTCGCAAGCACAAATCCATTTACATTTTTATCAAATTACCATTCTCGTCTCACATATATAAATATAT